AAGGGAGGGAATATTGTGGCTAAATTTTCAAGCTAATTATCAAGTCCTGCTTTCATGAAATTTTCATTAAAATAGTAAAAATTAATATATTTGTAGTCAATAAAAAATGTCAGGGTTTTTAAAGGATTAACCTTCATGTACGTGAAAAATTCACGAAGTCCAAACAAAAATGAGTAGCCTAAAGGATATGGGAGTTCCAGTCAGGGCTTTTCACCTGCCCCTTCCTCTTATTCATTTAAGATGTGTTGAAATCTTTTTCTGAGCACCTGCTAAGTTCCAAGTACTGATTAATACGATAGCGCCTACTTCTAAGTAGTGTAAAGACTAGTAAGGAAGATTATGAATAAGAAATTACCCTACAGTATAATGAGGTCAGAGGCCTTTCCAGAGGTGGTTGTTGATCTGAGTCCTTTAGGATCAAAAGGAATTAAACTGAAGGGGCTGCTGATGAGAACAAGCTCGTGAATGGGGTGGGGTAGCTTGTTAGGAAATTTGAAGCTGGATTTCAAATCCAAAGAATAGAGGATGCTTTTATTTACAGCATCTTTTTCTAATTCCAGGCTCTTCTGACCCTGGCGATGCTGTCCTTTTGCTCCACCTAGAGGTGGTGTGAGCTATAGTACAGACTTGGGCTAGTATAAGGAGCTTTGTTGGCACAGTGCCTAAGGCATTTCACTGCTAACCAGAAGGTTGGTGGTTCAAACCCACCAGCCACTCTGAGGAAGGACGATAAGGGACGATATAGAAATCTACTTCTGTAAAGATTTACTGCCTGGAAAACCCAGTGGGGGTCCCTATGAGTCAGAATCGACTTGATCGCAGTAGGTTTGGACTGGAGCACTGTCTCCATCACTTCACCTTATTGGTTCTGTGGAGCCTCTGGGTCAGTTCAAACTGTCAATGTTTTGGCTAGTAGTTCAGCACTTAACCGTTTGTGTCACCCAGAGACTCCAAGTTGTGTGATTTGGGGCTAGTAGCTTAACTTCTGTGAGCCTGTTTTCTCAACCGTAAAAACGGGGACAGTTGCACCTGGGTTAAATGACAGAATGTGTATGTCTCACTCCTGCCTCAGTACATTTATTTAGGTTTCCAATCCTGCTCCTCCTTCCTTTAGCTATCTTGGAAATTGCATTCTTCCTCCTTGTAACTTTCTCATTGCTTCTCTGATTTCCAGCTTGGCTGTACTTTTTCTTGCATCCTACTACTGAGGCTGGCTATGGGGCTGAGTAGCACAGGCTCACAGTACAGAAAACTGTCCAAGTTGGGATGGACCCAATCTTTTCTTCTCCATCCCCCCTCTTGTCTCCACTCTCTTTATCCTCTTCCTCAGATTCCAAACTGTTGCTCCCCAGAAGCCTGGGCTTTTGTTCTCTGGAGACTTAAACTAATTTGTCCTGACTTACTGTCAAAGGGTATCACCTGTTGTCTATAGACTATCACACGATAAAATTGCCAAAATGTAAACATAACAAGAGCTAATTTCATACTTAAAACAAAACACAACACTAACACAAAGCCATCAGTGCATTTCCATTTTCTCTCTATTTTCTGTTTCTTCTCTGAGGATCTCAAACCCTCATAGTAACGACTTCCTCTCTGTCATTGTTGCTATCATTTAGAACTAATAAAAAGTTACCTCTTAGTATCCATTATAATTTATTATCTGTCCTGTGTTCCTCACTTAATTTTAAGTTCCTGCCGAAACCTCTGCAGGAGTGGGTCTCAAACTTGAATGCAAAAGAATCACCTGGGGATCTTGTTAAAATGCAGATTCTGATTTAGTAAGTCTGGGGAGGAGCTGACCTGCTAAGTTCCTAGGTGATAAGATGCTGTTGGGCCTTGGTCAACACTTGGAGTTAGTTGCAAGATCTGATGGGGCAAAGCACAAAGGAGGTGCTAGAGAGATGGCTGCTGTTATCAGCTCGGGTCTCTCCTACTCAGATCTTAGAATTTTGTTCAATAAATCTTCTGGTTTATTTTTTCTCGTTCATAATTTCTGACCAACAACTGACAATTATTCCCTTGTGGAATTACTTGACTATGCCCTTCCCTCCCTTTTTTCAAACTCATTGGGCTCATCCAGGACTGGCTCACCTAGGGAGCATATTAGAGTTATCTCCAGCTGCTTTCTAGTGTCATTTACCTTGAAGCAGAAAGGACAACTTTCTTAATCATTTTTTGCCATCTTCTTGCTCAACAATGCACAATAGTTCCCTAGTGTACATGTCAAATTTAAGGGCAGGATGAGACGCTTCAAAACATTTCACCAACTATTCCCTCTCTCGTACAAGTCAATTTCTCTTTATGCTATACTGAGAACTCGCTGCATATTTCTAAACCAAACCCACTGCCACGGAGTTGATCCTAACTCAGTGACCCTACATGACAGGGTAGAACTGCCACATAGGGTTTCCAAGGCTGTAAATCGTTATGGAAGGAAACTGACACATCTTTCTCCCCCAGAGCAGCTGGTTATTTTGAACAGCTTTTTTTTTTTTTTTAATCTTTTGGTTAGTAGCCAAGCACTTTAGCCACTATGTCACCAGGGCTTCTGCATATTGTCTAGGTATGATTAAATCTCTTCAAACTCTTTGCAGATTATGACACATTGGGACTAGAGACTCTGGGTTGTGCAAATGGTTAAAATGCTGGACAACTACTAGCAAAAGCCTGGAGATATGAACCCATCCAGAGGCTCTGGTAGTGTAATGCCTAAGGCACGTGACTGTTAACCAGAAGGCTGCCGGTTCAAACCTACCAGCCACTCCTCAGAAGGAAGGCTGGGTAATCTACTATCCATAGTGATACAGCCTCAGAAACCCAAGGAGGGGCCACTATGAGTCAGGTCCGACTCCATGGCACAGAACAACAACAACAGAGGCTCCTCTGAAGATAGACTTGGCTATCTGCTTCCAAAAGGTTTTAACCTTTGTAAGAGTCTGACTTGACTTATGTCAACTAACAACAACAATATACAGGGAGTGCTTTCTTTCATTCTTTTTAAACGCTTCCATATCTTTCAAAATACTCTGTTTTTGCCTCTTGATAAAGTTCTTCCAGATTTATTCCTAGTTGAGTCCTTCATTTAAAGAAGTACTAGCTAGGTACTAATACTTTCATATATTCAGCCTACTCTTTGAATGGTATTTGTACTTTTTCATGCCTGTATTCCCAGCACCTTAGAGTGCTTGACACACAGTAGGTACTCTTTTTGCTGTTGTTGTTGAATGCAGAAGCAAACAAAATTTAAGGTTAATTCTTACTAATGTTCAAAATGTCTTACACATTTATTGGAAACAGTGAATGTTAATGGGTAAATAAAATTAGACAATAGCTCTGGTGCAGCAAAATATTAACGTATCAATTCATTTTGGAAGGCTGGCATACTACTACCAGCATATCAAAAAATTCATTGGCTAAAGGATCAAAAAAGAAAGCAATGATCTTTGAGTATATTGAGAGATAAAAAATTTGAGGTTTAATAACACTTCCACATTGTACCACCTATCAGCTACCATTTTATTCGGGAAACAAAATTTAAATGCAGCAAAAATTTAGCACGGGTCCACACCCACATCCTATCAAAAAGGCTTATGCTTTCCTTTTTTCCCCTACTCTTCACATTTTGCATTCGTTACTTTTTCTTTAGAGTTCTCAGTGCTTTAATTTAAAATGCAATTAAATAGGGCTCTCTCGCATTACCATTTCAAGGAAAAAGAGGCTGTAAGGCCCATTCAGCGAGGTGCGAGAGGCCTACAGGCTGCCCGCCCTGCAAATGCCTGATGCTCCGATTTCATCTATGGTTTTCTGTACTGCTCCTCTTTTTTTGGGTGGTGCAAATCGCGCAAATGCAGCATTAAAGCCTCCTAGCCCTGGGAAACGACGCAAGTATAGGCAGTTTAGGCTGGCAGGTCTCCTTAGCACACAGGCGACGGCTGGAGGCCCGGATACCCACCCCCAAGCTCGGTCCACAACAATCGTTTCCTTCCTCCCCGCCTTTTACATACAGTACACATACAAATACACACACGCAGAGCAGCTAGCTGGGGCGGGCGGGACCCAACCACTCGGCAAACCACAGGGGGGAGCCTCAGCGGACCGAGGTATTTTCGTCCACTTCTTTGCTCCTTCATAGCCGTTCCTCTCCCATTTGTTAGTAATTACTGTCAAGAAGTTAACTTGTGGTTCTGGGGTCTTCAAAAGCTTCGTTTCGGAACCTCACACCTTAGAAGGGTGTTGCATTCTCTCCCCGCCCTCGGAGAGCAGTTGGTCCCGCCCCAGTGCTAGCGGGCGCCGAGCGGGAGCCGCGCGGGAGCAGCGCAGCGACGGCGGCGGTGGCGGTTGCGATTCGTAGCCGTTGAGACGCCTCTGCGGCAGCTGGTGGCGCAGGTGGCTTGCGTGGACGCGGTTAAAGGCGGCCGGCCTGCAACAGCAACCTCAGTGCCCGCGGCACCGGCAGGTGAGCGGGCCGCAGGGAGTCGCCCCGCCCCCCCCCCCGGGGCCTCGCTGCTGGCTGAAGCGGGGAGTAGACGCGGCCCGGCCGAGGGGCGGCCAGGGCCGCGAGGGACAGGAAGCAGATTGGGGAGGGGGTCGTCGTCCGTGGGCCTAAGGGGGACGCGCTGCTGTCTTGAGCTCTCTTTCTTTCCTCTTTCTCACATCCCCCTCCATTTTTGGGTTTAAGGCCCCTGGAAAAAAAAGACGGAGGAGGGATGGGGCGGGAGGACGGGGGTCCAGGGTTGGGAAGCATCCCTGCCTCAGGTGGTGGCGTCTCTCCGACGTCGAGCCGGGAGGGGGCGGCTCCGGGGCTGCCGAGGCCGCGCACTAGGGAGAAGGCTGGAGGCGGCTCTCCTCTCCCCTCAGTGTCTCCCACCCCCTTCTTTTCCCCTCCCCGCCCACTCCACTCGGGCCCCTCCCTCCGGTGTTCTCTCTAACCGCCCTGGTGCTCCCGCTCGCAGGCGCGTCGGACGCCCCTAGGCATCCCCTCCCTCCCGCAGCTCGGCTCCGCCTCGACTGCGCCCCCGCAGCCCCTTGCCGCCCCCTGGTCGCGGCTCCTCGTTGGGCTCTGGACCCCCTGCGTCACCCCCGAAACATGACTCGCGATTTCAAACCTGGAGACCTCATCTTCGCCAAGATGAAAGGGTATCCTCATTGGCCAGCCCGAGTAAGTGATTTTTCGCCTTTGCTTTTAGCGGTGCTACCTTCTTGCACACAGGCCTGCTTCTGCTTCCTACCCTTTCTCTCTCTTTTTTTTTCCTCCCCTTCGCTCTCCTTTCGTCTCATTTGTAACTTGACCTTTTTCGTTTCAGTTTTTACCCGATTGTCTCCCATGTAATTGTGAAAATCCAGGTGATCTTACATCCTTGTATATTTTTCTATGGTCTATTTTTTGATAGATTTTCTTAATAGGAAGGATTCAAAAGGGATGTCAGTTAATGTATCATGTAAATGGAAATTACCATCTGTGACGTACAGGTTTAAAAACTAGTGAATTATTTGCATTTTCTTAATTTTGAATTAAGTGTAAAATAGCGTGGACTATATGCAAATTTCACACAAAAGAAAAATTTATGTGACTCGGTTGAATTTATTTGATCTTTTTCCATGTGTTCGGTAACTGATGGGTCCTTTTATATTTGTTAAAGACAGTGGCAATGGATATTCTTGAGAAATTGTGCAAGTTAGCACTAGGAATTGATGAAATTTGCCTTGTGACCTTGAAGTTGTTTTACCTTTTTGGATGTTTCCCATAGGCAAAAGGGTAGAGTTGGGATCAGATTCCTGGGATTACATCTAGTGGTTCAGAGAAGTGATTAAGGACTCAGGATTTTTTGTAAAATTTAGGGAGACTGTCTAAATATCTAAACATCATTTTCAGAAAAAGTGGTCTCTTTGTTAGTTTATGGTGGGACCCAGATTTTAAGACAGTGATAGATAGGACTCAAAGGTTGAGATCCATGGGGTTAGAGAAACTAAAGATCCTTTTAAAATATAAACGTGATATTCTATAGTTGTAATTATTCCTCCAAACCGTTTTCTATTAATTTATTCTTTGAAAAAGTTTGCTTTCTTAAGGATAATTAAATAACAGTAGATTAGTTTTGTCAGCTGGGGAGAGGAATGGGGAAAGATACCCATTAGTTAGATGGAATAGTAAAGTGAGGAGCTGAGAGTGCTATCCGAGAAAAATGTTTACTGTTTGATTTTTCCCATCCAACTCTTCACAGAATCTGGTATACAGGTTTCCTTGCCCAACCAAAAATACTTTTTTCCCTGAGTCTATCAAATTTACCTTCAGAGTCTTTAATCATAATCCTTTTCTATATTTGCTTTTGTCTTAATTCTTTCTTTTAGATTCTTTGACTTCCAAAGAGATTGTAAGCTTCTTGAAGGCAGTAGCAATAGACTGAATTAAGTTACTCCCCTCAGTCTTAGTATGTAGTCTTAGCACATGGTCATGCACTTACAAACACTCTGTAGTTCATGTTTTAAATAGGGCCTAGGGAAACTGAGTGGATTTAATGCCAGTCTGAATATTTTCTTCCCACAGTTTTACCATCCTTATTTATTATGTTGAGGTGTTATAAAATAAAACATATATAGATTTCCATGCCATGATACATTAAAAGTCAAATGGAAAGATTTAAAAAATTAACTTCCTTTGCTGCCAAATCATCCTTCCTCCATTTCTCAATATACTAGGTGACCAAGAGTTAGTGGTTTTAGAGGTAAAATAAAGTAGATTTAGGAAGACCAGAATACTATTCTACTATATTTAATTGGAATGGGAAGTTTTTATCTCCATTCTCTTCCCTCTTTTTTTTTCCTTTACCCTTAGAAGAAGCTGAGCTTGGGTTTGGTATTTCCTGTGTCCAAGCATTATATTCCTTCTTCTGTCTTTTCTTCAGACTTAAAAGTTATAAATCTTTTCTGTAGAGAGTTTAGAATATGTTTTTAAGGTATCAGATGTAAGAGTGATACCTATTCCAATTTTGATTTTAACATCTTTGTTCACATATCCAAAATTTGTTAATTTTTTAAGACTTTTACATTCTTGTAATCTTGTAGTAGTAGTCCATACTTAAGTCAACTTTAAAAAATTTACCTAACATTTATTAAGCTTTCTAGGTGCACAAACCTTTAAAGCTATTTACCTGTGCAAACCCTTGAACCTGGTTGACAGAAAATATCATCCCTTAAGGGCTCTATAGATTTTTATATTTCTTGAGACCTCCCCACAAAGTTGGAGTGGTAGACATAATCTTCACCAGATAAGTAGAGAAATTAGAGTCTAGAGGGATTGGGTGTTAATTATTCTATTCGTGTTCTAAATAAATCTGCCCCACACATAATCACACCACCCTCATAGTTTTTTCTTCAAGTCTTTGAAACGCAAGCAAAGCAAGTAGTAGGTCCTCTGCTGTCAGCTGTTATTAAGTGATCAACTGATTTTTTTTTTTAATTTAAAATTCCTCTTTGAGATTAGGAAAATTCTGAAGTTGAAAAAAGAAACGTTATTAAATTCTATCTAGATGGTACTGTTTAATAGCTTTATCCCTGAGGTTTGCTTTCCTTTTATTAATAATAAGGGAAAATGACCAGTATTACAGACGTATTAGACATAATAGCACCTAATACCTTCGTCTTTAATTATAACAGTTGAAAGAGATAGGAAAAAGAAAAAGGTAACCTTATGTACTTCAGCCGTGTAGGTGTAGAGTCTTATCAGAATATGTGTCTCAGATGTTGGAAAATATGGCTTTAAACATTTGCTAATGTAGCTTTTACATTACTTTGGTATTTTGTATAGGGACTTTGCAGAAGTATCATTTAGGATTGCAGAAGAGTCAGATTGCCTTATCTGAAAAGCTTGGGAGAAGATAGGTTTCAGAATTTAGAATTTGGGTATTTTAGAAAGAGTTTCATTGCTGATGCTGATAAGATCTGGGGTAGGAGGGTAGAACATGATAATAAAACACAAAATTTCTTCAGAGAAACATCAGTGTTCACACTACCAAAGCCACTCACTGCCATCGAGTCAATTCGACTCATAGTGACCCCTCCTTGGGTTTCCAAGGCAATATCTCTATGGAAGTAGATTACCCGTCTTCCTTCCAAGGAGTGGCTGGTGGGTTTGAACCACCAGCCTTCTGGTTAGCAGTCAAGTGCCTTAGCCACTACGCTACCAGAGCTAGGCGGGATAAAAGAAATGACTGAATCGACTTACTGTTACGCCAGGTTTTGCCACCAGATAGTGAGTTTTAAGAAAATTTTGGTTTTCAGAGCTTCTTGGATTTCAGAACTCTGAGAATAGGGAATTATGGACCTGTAGAAGTAGTCTATTTTTTTGTTTACTTGTTTTTGTTTTAGAAATGGTCTATTTTATATCAGATCTTTTTTGGATATATCGTTCTTACTTTATTCAGTTGTGTTCAGGGGTGTTGTTTTTAAAGATTTTAATTTTTGTGATCTTTCTTTTAGGTAGATGAAGTTCCTGATGGAGCTGTAAAACCACCCACAAACAAACTACCCATTTTCTTTTTTGGAACTCATGAGACGTAAGTCCTTACAGTTTTAAAGGCAAATCAGAGTTAATTTAATAGGATCATTAAGCGTTTTTAAAAATAAAGAGACTAATTCAAAATAGAAATAATAAAATAATAGGAAACTTTAAAGTCATCTTGGAGCTATGGAAAAAATCTTTGAGTCTGCCTTTTTTATTTCATTTTTAAGGTAGAGATTGAAGACACTGTAAGTGTAACTTTGTTTTTAAATTGGAATAGATGCTTCCTTAACCATAAAGTATGTATGGATCCTTTGCAATCAGAAGTGACTGATAGATTAAAGTATGTATGGAAAGTTTTGGAAAAGCCATTTAGTGTTCATATTTAATAAAAATAAGTGCTTTTTGTAAGGACTACCTGATACCCTATTTTAGGCTTTGTATATTGTGAGAAAGGGGAGAGAAGAGGTCTGTATATTTCCTTCTGCGTATTTATAGGATCCCTAAAGGCATTGTGGATGCTCTGCTGCCCCTGGTGGATATGTGGTCAGAGAACCTATTTGATGAAGTAAATTTTTTTTCTAAAATTGCAACAATGTTCAACTGTAATTTCTAGATGAATGGAATCATTCTAGGGGTTATCTCAGTAATGTCTGAAAATTATTTTTATGCACCTTTAATAGCCTTCGCAACTGCTATGGAATCTCAGATTTTGGTCTTAAAGTTTGGAATTTGCAGTAATTTTTGATAGATTGTTGTTGTTGTTGTTGTTGTTGTTTTGCTGTCGAGTCGGCCCCGACTCATAGCGACCCCTCCTTGGGTTTCCGAGGCAGTATCACTACGGAAGTAGGATTGCCCAACCGTCCTTCCGAGGAGTGGCTAGTGGGTTTGAACCGCCAGCCTTCTGGTGAGCAGTCAAGTGCCTTAGCCACTGTGCTACCAGAGATTTGTTAATCTGGGACAAAGACAAACTTTACCAGGTCAGATATAAGTATAAAGATCATTTGTGTGTGTACAAGTAGTTTTAAAACACTCAGTATACACTTATTTGTAGCAGTGATACTCTAATTAGAATTCATTATGTATTTCCAAGAGTGGCTAAAATGGCAACAGTTGGTTTAACTTTAGTTACTGTTTGAACTTTGACCTATAGTTTAACAGTTCTTGAGGTGTAATTTATGTGCCAGAAAGTTCACCTATTTAAAGTGTACTTCGGTTTTAGTATATTTACAGAGTTGTGCGACCATCACCATAATCTGAGGTTTTCACCATCCCAAACCCCATATCAGTTGAGGTCACACTCCATTCTCCCACCCTCAGCCCTAGACAACCACTACTCTACTTTTTATCTCTGTAGATTTGCCAATTCTGGATGTTTCATATATATAGTTATACAATATACCATTATTAATCTTTAAGATAACAGTTTTTGAGTCTAGAATTGGGTTGGCCTTTGCAATAATCAGTTTATGTTGCCTTTAGCTATGTATGTTCTGTACTTTTCTAAGATATATAATAGATGTCTGATTCCATAGCATAATCCACTATTAAAAAAAACTTAAGTAAATATTTTTAATAGGAAAAAGTATCTTTTAATGAAAAATTGTGTACCTGCCTCACCTAAGGAACTTTAGTTAGAAATGCAAGTTCTTGGACTCTACCCCCAACCTACTGAATCTCAGATAGTCTTTGTGGGGTGTAGGACCCAGCCAGAAACCTGTTTTTACAAGCCCTCCAGTTATTTTACTGTGCTAGTAGTGTTTGGGAATACTGATTTACATCTAGACATCCCGTAGAATTTTTCAGTTTTACAAATTTAGAATTTAAATTTGTTACTTTCTGAAATAGGACAGATGATAGGAAGACACAGTCCATTCTTGTGTTATGTTAAATTTGGAAGAGGAGTGATCATCCATTCCTCAGTGTTTTATTTAAATTAGCATTTTTACTTTGTAAAATTTTTTCTTTAAATATTAAATCTGAGAATAAACTATGCCAAATAACTTAAATTTTCATTAATGGATGATTTAACTAAGTGGAATTAGAATGTATATATTAAACGTATTTGAATGTATTCAACTAGTAATATTAAAATTTCATTTCATTGTAGTATTTTGTGCCTGTGTTCTCATGAGTACACTGTTTATCTTAGGCGATTTGGCCATATCTATATGGGTCTGGTGACCTAACTTTTCTAGGATTTAAGGTTGATTTTTAGAAATTAACTCTGGTAATTATATGGCTTTTGCTTCATCAAAAATTGAGGAGTGGTGGTTATTTGAACATTTCAGTCTGTATAAGTACTGTTTTATCTGAACAGCCACAATAAGTAATTAGGGGAAATAGAAGAAGAAAAACAAAAGTTTAGAAAACTGCTAATATATAACTGATCTATAGATTAAGATATTTTTAGTTTGTGAATTTATAACAGAATGTTTTTGTAACTGCATTCTTTTCCTGACCTGTTCTGATTTTTCTTAGCATTTAACAACACCCACTACTACCCACTGCCATTGAGTTGATTCTGACTCATTGTGACTCTGGGACAGGGAAGAACTACCCCATAGGGTTTCCAGTGTGTAAATCCTTCTAGAAGTAGACTTGCCTCATCTTTCTCTTGTGAAGTGGCTGCTGGGTTCAAACCACCAACCTTTTGGTTAACAGCCAAATGCTTTAATTACTGTATCACCAGAGTGCCTTTTAATGATATATTATGTTCATATTAAATTCATCCAGCAGTGAGGTTTTGAATATTAAATCATATTGAGCCCTGATGCATACCAACTATGACCATTTACGAGGTATATTAAATCTGACGTTTAAAACAAGTCTGGGTTCCTAACCCCATACCTTTTTATCCTCTTTGTTTCTCCTTTTTGGGGAAATCAACATGGAGTTAACATTGCTATAGCCCAAAATATTGGTGTAATTCTTGATTGATTACATAGTACAGTCATTCCCCTTTGTTCCCCATATCTAGTCAGTCAGCAAATGTTAATCTTTTCCTTCAAGATGCATCCTATTCTGTCTACTCTTCTGTCTCCTCTGTTTTAACTCAAGTTCATATCATAATTACTCCCATAAATAGTGTGTTCTACCCCTAAGTGGTACCCTGAGTAGCACAAATGGTAAAGGAATCAACTACTAAGCAAAAAAAACAAACAAGGTCGACTCTTGGAACCCCACCCAGAGATGCCTTGGAAGAAAGGCCTCATGATCTTCCCAAAGGTCACAGGCTTGAAAACTCTATGGATTATAGTTCTACTGTGTCACAGGTGGGGTTGCCATAAGTTGGAGTTGACTGGAAGGCAACTGGTTTGGTTTTTTAACCCTAACTTGGTCTTAGTTTCTATACTTTGTATATAGTCAAAGGGCTATTTTTTTAAAAAAATTCCCAATCAGATGATGGTATTTTCCTGTCTAAAACTGTCAGTGGCCGTCAATGGCTCCCTAATGAAATCACTGACAAACAAAAAATCCAAACTTTCTCTACAAATGCTGTTTAGAAGACCCTGTACTAACATGCCAATGCTAACCTCTCCAACGTCATTGCATTTCTTACTGCTTTTTTTCTGTTACACAAATATGGTTCATCTTGTCTCAGATCCTTCTTGCTCAACCTTTGCTGGGAAGTTTAAGTCTTTGGGTTTTCTAAGTAACTTAGATCTTAACTCAGATCTTCATTTTTATGCTTTGTTTTTTTCCATTACAATGAAGTTTGAAAAATTTTGCCCCTCTTTTCCCTGCTTCACCAAAGAGGAAGTGCTTAGAGAATAGAGACCTTGGCTATCTTGTTTCTCATCATCTATTTAAGCATCTAGCATATAGTACCTGTTAAACAACTATTAGTGATTCAGTGAAAGTTCTGCACACTAGATAAAATCATTTGTTGATTATGAAGTTGCTAATCTGGCCATTAACTGACATTATTTATATATAGTGTTTAAGACAACTAACAATAGGATCAGAAGTTTGTCTTTAAATCCTTGATTTATTTGCTCTATGACCATGGGTTATTTGATCTTTGTGTCCTTTTCTTTCCTTATTTAGAACATGAGAATAATATATTTAACCTCATAGAATTAATTAGGGTACTGTAAAAAGGACAAGGAGGCCACATGTTCTGACGTCCTCTAATCCCACAAGAGGAAGACAGGATTACCAGCAGTAACCCAACGCCTCTTCCTGCCAGGCCAGACATGCTGCCTCCCTCCAGCCCTTTCTCCAACTGTTCCTTCCAAAGCATCACCACCTCTCTCCTGAGTTCGATAATTCGCTGCAGTGGCCACACAAAACTCACAGATTATGAGGTTTATTAGGGAAGCACCAGACTATAATTCAAGTTCAGGAAGAACGCTCAGTCTCTCTCCCGGCCCACCGTCCCTCAGCCGACAGTCTCTCACAGTCTCTTTCCCAGTAGTGCTGGTCCCTCGGTGTCTCACTCAGCGATGTGTGTCTCTTGCGTCTCTTTCCCAGCAACTCATGTCTCAGGAGCCCGTGTCTCTTTCAGCAGCACGTCTTCCTCAACCAGCAGTCAGAGCAACTCTTCCTGTAGGAGGCCTCCTTTTTAGCTTGGCAGGGTGGTCAAACTAGCCAATCATAGCATCAGAACTCTAAGCACCTGAGAGAGAGTGGCCACCTCCCAGAACATTGTTTTGTGCCACTCCCAACAGAAATACTCCAGGTGGACAACTTCAGCAATCAGGAGCTCCTCAGTTGCTCATAGAAAATCCCACCTTGGAGTTTACAAAGGCTTATAGGTAGAAAAGCCACACTAAGTAATTTACTACACCGCAGGTACAAACAAGATATTATATGACAAATACTTAGAATAGTATTTGGCATGTATTGAACATGAAATAACCAGCAGTTGCCATCAAGTCAACTCTGACTTATGGCGACCCCATGTATTTCAGAGTAGAAATGTGCTCCGTAGGGTTTTCACTGACTGATCTTTTGGAAGTATAGTGCCAGGTCTTTCTTCTGAGGTGCCTTTTGGTGGATTCAAACTGCCATCTGTAGCTGAGTACGTAACCATTTGTACCACACCTGTAC